GTCCTCCGAATGTTTTTCCTACTGCACAAATAATTACCGATGAAGAAAATATATCAACTAACAATGTACCGCTGAGACATCAACCTGATATAGTAGTACCACCATATGATTTTAACCCAGAAATTCACGATGAGGATTTTCATTACAGCAGACTAATAGCAGGTTTCATAGTAGATTCCAATAATGTAGACATACCAATATCATATAAGGACCCAAACCTGGAAGCTATTCTATTTCCTGATCTCTTTCCAGACGGTCATGGCCATTGGGGAGAAATCTCTAATAGATTAAATAATCGCCGTAATCGAATTGACACATATGCTAAATATATCAAACTTCTTCTATTGTGTCCGGATCCTCGATTTCGCCTCCATTGGTACTGGCCATATTGGTCTTATGTTAATTTGGAAAAACTGCGAAACCATCAAAATAGGCAACGCATTTTGCGTCAACGTTTAATCAATCGACAACAGCTTCCTACGATTGCAGATTTGATAAACCATAGTATTTATAATAATCGCCCAGTTATCGATGAAACATTGACCACCACAATTCCTTCTTATATCCGAACTGGTGATACTTATTTTCGTCAGCGCGAACATTCTGTGAATGCAATGGTTCAGAGTTTTGGCCTACCCCAGATCTTTTATACTATAACTATGGCCGAAGGGCTTTGGCCACATTTATTAAAAATTCTGTCACGCACTGACGATCACTGCACTATGCCAACAAATCGTCCCCTTCATGCTTATTTTCACTATCATCAGAGATTAAACTCTGTTCGAAATTTGCTATGGAAAAATCCAAAATTAGCTGAATGGGGTAAATGGTTACACCATTTTGAAAGAGATGAGTTTCAAAATCGTGGTAGTATACATACCCATGGCATAGCATACCTTGATGCACCAATCCCAACTTTGATAGATCGTAATGCTATTCGTGCTGACTTACCTGATCCCCAAACCGAACCGGTTCTTTATGATCTGGTTCGTACCCACCAAATCCACCGATGTTGTCCTAATAAATGCGGTGGGCCACCTCTTGCTGGTGAACAATGCAGGAAAAAATTTCCCGCACCATTATCCAATCAGACTTTTTTTAATTCCTCTTGTTTACGCTATACTTATCGTCGAATCAAGGAATCCGATCGCTGGATTGTTCCCTATCATGCTCCGACTTTATTATTGTGGCAGGGACACTGTAATTTTCAATATGTCACCTCCAAATCTTTCGCTAAATATATGACCAAATATATTACCAAGCCGGAAAGATCGGATCTATTTAGGCTAACTGATTACGACGCTTACCGATCTCATATTATAGCCAGACGTCTCGGTGCGATGGAATTAATGATTCTCTTAACAGGATACTCTATCTGTCGATCTACCATCGCTACTGAATATCTGCCATCTACCCCACCTAATATGCGATTAAAATGTGTAAAACCAGTTTATTTACTAGATAATGAAAACTCTAATCCGTACTGGGCCGATGCTATTGACAAATATTTCTTCAGGCCCATCAATTCATGCTTTGACAATATTACATATCCATATTACCATCAGAACTACAAAATAAAATCAAATCAACCAAATACAAACTATTGGGTAGATCAACTGGGTAAATTCGTAATCAAAAGAAAAAAAGCAATTTTAATACGATTCCAATATTTAACGGTAGAAGATGGCGAGGCATTTTTTTACCAGCAACTTCTTCTTCAACTGCCTTGTAGATATGAAAACGACTTATTAGCTTCATATTCAAACTACCGAGCGCATTTTCGAGCAAGATTTCCTGAGCGATTTAATCAAGCTATACAAAACATTGGTCAATGCGCAACAACAAGATTTATTAATTTTTCCCGTAACTACCAACAGCAAATAGATAGGATAGTAAATAGCATGAATAAAGATATCGCTACCATTGTACATAATCAACTTAACACGTTAATGCATTCACCATCCACAATTTCTCGATATTCTATACTAGAAACACCGACAGACCAATATGAGGCATTCAACATATTAACTTCAGCATGGGGTCGTTCGGGTGAACATGGTCATCCTTATTTTTTTCTAACCGGCTCAGCAGGAACCGGGAAATCATATTTAATAACATTAATCGTGAATCACCTTTTGTCCCATCATAAAAAATATTTATTAATGGCTCCAACTGGTGTGGCGGCCCAAAATATTGGTGGCAAAACAATTCATTCGCAACTAAAAATACGTCCATCCCCTAATAATCATATGAGTTTGGCACTGAACAATCAGGAAAGTCGCCAAGCTCTTCTAAGTATCGAAATTATTATAATTGACGAGGTTTCTATGGTATCAGCTAGTCTATTAACATTTATTAGCAACCTTTTTGCCCGTTTACACAATAATCTTTTACCCTTTGGTGGAGTCAGAGTTCTACTGATTGGTGATCTTGCACAACTACCTCCTATAAGCGGTGCTCAAGTATTTCGATCACCTGTTTGGGCTGAATTCTATCCGATATTCCTAACAACTTCTCGCAGACAAAATCAAGATATGATGTTTTATCAAGTGCTAAATGAAATCCGTATTGGAAATATATCAACCAGAACATTACAATTAATTAGGAATAAAATAAAAACTCCATCATCTCGTTCACCAATTGATACTACGTATTTAGTTGGTTTTCGCGCCATGGCAGATAATATAAACCAATTGGCGTGTCTATCCTTACCTCGAGAACCGGATGATCCTGAACCTAGCATCACAACTGCTATTGACCATATTGATAATCAAGAATATGATGCAATAGAAAATGATCGTAACTTTCGTCAACACACCAATCTACCCGCGACTTTAATTTTACAAAAAGGCGCTCGTGTCATGTACCTTGATAATGCTCTATTTGAGCATGGTCTTTGCAACGGATCTATTGGAATTGTTACTGAACTAATTGATGAAAATACAGCCAACGTCATATTTCCAACTCCATTGAGAATGATTACTGCGACTATAAAAAAAATAACAAAACGTTTTCTTTTAAACGGCATACCAGCTAATAGACATCAATTTCCTTTACAAAATGCTTTCGCACTCACCGTACATAAAACACAAGGACTAACTATACCAAATATTTCAATCGCTATCAATGAACAAATGTTTGCATACGGGCAAGCTTACGTTGCACTTAGCCGGGCCCCATCATGGAATTCACTGGATATCACTTCATTCGATCCAACGTACATAAAAACCGATCCGGCGGTAATTACTGAATATGAACGATTAATTTCGTTACATAATGATGGCTTAGGCAACTTTTTATGACGATCTCCTTAACCATATACGTTACGTACGTACGTTTTCTTTATTTCATTAAATCAATAAGAAATAATCACCGTTATTTAATTATGTCGCTCTCATTCCATAACCGTAAACAATTAAATTGAAAGCTAAATAAAGATAGCCTAACAAAGCAAAAAACGACCAATAATCTAATATCATCGTTAAAAAACTAGAATGAAAATTGTCGCGAATTTTCTTATATTCATAACCTTCCTATTAACCTAAACATATTATAAGCAATAATTAGTTAATAAAAAAACATTATTAATAAATAAATTCATGCTACTATAATACTAAAAAATATAAACTATCTTACAACTCTTTTCTAACCTTACCCTATTTCCATGAACAAAATACTTAAACCAAATATATACGCCAATTAAAAAAATCCTTATAACCACAAACGTTAATAAAGATAACCTAAAAAAAAATTATAACCAACCAGCAAATGATATCAACATAAAAAATAAGACAATCCATTATATATAATAAAATCTTTGAGTCAAATGTCTTTCAATATAAATAATCAATCAAAAAAAAATTTAATAAACCTTAACGCAGGAACTAGAATTTTAACCTTTTTAAACCGATTAATTAGACTTGAAGACCGTAAAATTTAAAGCCATATAAATCAACCAAACCCATTATAACATGAAAAAAATAATAATAACACCAAAATAAAATACAGTTTCATAATCCAAGTAACAAATTTCAACTAAATTTAACAAATTCCCGCAAGAAAATCAATAATACTATACTCACCGAATAATTTAAATAAATCGGATAAATCTGATAATACAGAATTAATGAGACAACTATTATTCCAGTTAACACGTTAATTAATAACAAACATTTATATAAATAAACCCGACTCACATACAACACTACACTTCAAATATCTAATAAGAATATTAATATCTAAAAAATTGCCTTTAATTGTCAATTTCGTTTTTTTTATGGTCCTCGTGATTGAATTGTCGCGTTAATTTATTAACCCGCTAATTCTTGACCCTACGATTACCCCGTATCCTATTTTCATATTGAATTGAATAAGAAAAAAAATTAATACTAC